GAGCGTCCCTCCTGATACTCTAACTCTTCTCAAGGGAGGAAACATGGGCTTTTCCTTCCTGAGCATACTCTATTCCTACCTACTCTATGCCTCATTTCATAGAACTCATATTTTCATGTGGAGATGAATGTAAAAAAAAAAATTTGGGGTTAAGCTTAAAGGGATAGTTCACCCAAAAATGAAAGTTCTGTCATCATTTACTCACCTTCAAGTTGTTCCAAACCTGTATGAGTTGCTTTCTTCTGCTGAACTCAAAATAATTTACATACAATTTCTGGTCCCCATTGACTTTCATAGTATTTTTCCCACATTATTGAAGTCAGTAGAGACCACCAACTTTTTGGTTACTCACATTCTTCAAAATATCTTAAAATATCTCTTTTATGTTCAACAGAAGATAGAAATACAGATTTAGAACAATTGAGGGTAAGTAAATGATGACAGAATTTTCATTTTTGAGTGAAATATCCCTTTAAGCTTAACCCAAAACATTTTTTTAACATTCATCTCCACAATTTCTATGAAATGAGGCGTAGAGTAGGTAGGCTGTTCCTGGTTCTAAGTGCGCAGGAACATTTTTGGGTGAACTATCCTTTTAAGATAAAGAACTGCAGTTGTCACTTATAATGGTGATGTTAGTCTAGCCTTTTGATTGGTCAAATCAATCCCATATCTTTGCTCTTATCTTGTCAATAGACGTCACACTGACTTACAGGATGTTGCCTTGGAATTTCAGCAATTTGTTGCTATTTTAATGGGATTCACCAAATTTTTTAAAAGGTAATTTTAAAGGTGGTAATTGTGTAGTTAACTATTGTTCAACAAGGGAGTGTGGTGTTTCTCCCCTCCACCTTTCGCCTTTTCTTATCTCTGGGTGTTTGTGCCTTTGACCGTAGAGATAATGAGTGATTGATACTCTTGTCTTCTGGGAACTTGTCTTTTGTGGGAGGTTTTTGGAGATCTCTGAAGACACCAATCAAACATTGTGACAGGTCCTTCAGAAAAAAGCAGTTTTTCTAAAGATCTGCCTGGTTAGCCTTGATGGGCCAGTGTGAGAATGGTGCTTTATGGGTCCAACTAAAAGGGCAGAAGGTTATTTATATTTTTGTAAGAGCAAATATGGAAAGAAATTTAACAGCTGGACCAGAACTAATGACTCCTGTTACTGACAAGGCCATTTCTGTTATGCCAACATGCATTTGCTTTAATAGCTCTCACAGTCTGGTTTCTTGAAGAATCGGGTCCACAGGTCAATGACAAATAAGATTTGTCCATGATAAAGAAAAGATACATTCTTTTAAAAATCTAGTTTAAAGTTCTCAAAAATATATATTATGTTGGTTTCAAACGATTTCATATGGTTTCGAAAAATTGTTATAGGCTACAATTTTAAAGAAAATATTCAGTTGAATATCTCTAAAATGGTGTTATGTAACCATCATATACAGTACATTAACCCTCGAAAGTTTGGAGTAAGATATTGAAGAAATTAATATTGAAATAGTACACTATTTTACTATATTACTGTTTTTACTCTTTTTAATCAGATAAATGCAGCATAGGAGACTTCTTTCAAAAACATTAAATCTTACTGACTCCAATTTTTTTTTTACAAATGTATTTCTTCATTTTATTAATTTTTTTTGGGCCACAATCTTGCCATAAGAAGGTTAAATTATCTGATTTTCTTAGAGACTTGTTGACCTTGACTCACAGTCATGAGGTTCTGCAGGGGTCTCTGTTTGTATGTCTGAATTGCATGTTTAATGTATTTTTGAATACATCAGAATTGCACAATAACAGTTATGTTTCTGACTTTTGCATGGGCAAGCACCTCTGACATTTTCTTGAAAACATAAAAAAAAAAAATCCTTTTCTCCGCCTTACACAAGTACATTTCTGTTAGCCGGATGTGGACTATACGATTTACAGATGCCTCATAGGGAAAATTCAATCATCAGAACAGCCATAAAGCAGAATTACAACAGATTCCGACCATACATCCAGACTGGAAATGGACCAAATGTTTTGTTTAAAATTACAACCTGCCTTTATGGCACGTTCAGTCCTTTTTAAGTTGTCTTTGGAGAATGTTGGATCCTGTTCGCACATCTTGTTCAGCACCATTGAAATGAAGTCTGTATCTTCTGACATTTGGACAGGATTTAAAATGTTCTGCTTTTCATTGGGTTTCAGCTGAGCACCCTGAACTCCTGTATGGGCACGATGGACATGCAGTTATTTTCAACCTTTATGTGTGAATTCCACTCTTTTTAAAGCAAACTCTGGGATGCATATCTCTAGTGTAACAATGTCCATTTCTCTTGCCAGAACACTTGCTAAAAATAGCCTGACTTTTGACCGAAGAACAGCTCTGCGCCATCTGTAAAACAATATTATTGCATACCCTCACCACATAATTTGCAACGGGGAATGAGAGCTGTAGAGCTGTGGTCCCCATGTGCAAATGTCTTCTTGTGCATGTTCATGTATTTAATATAGACAGTATTTAATACAGTTTTTAATAGACAAACTAATGCTGCTGTTTTATCTCTCTGGAGGAAGCACTTCTTCGTTCTTTCAGGCAGAAACTCTACAACACATCCGGCCCATATCCATCCAAAACAGTCTAGATTATTTTATGTTTTATATGTTATAAAACTAAATCTTTTCTCTGTTAATCAGATATTTTATTAAATATATGATTAATTCCATCATAAAACATATAAACAAAATTGCATTATCAAAATGCAGACCATGGTTTCCTCCTCACTGCAGGTGCTTCAGGTTTTGATGTTTTTCAAAGAAGGTCTTGCATGACAGATAGTTTGCCTCAGTGATATCTCGGTGAACCACAGAGGTAGGCCAAATGGAGACCTGAGAAAATACCACAATTAAAAAAACAAGAGTTTCGTTTCTGTGCGGTTGCGGTTAATGCAGATTTGTTTCCCCCTTCATTCTGTTTGTTTCAGAACAGTTTTGCCGTTCGTAATTCTTTTAAGCTAGTGTGCACAATGTAGGTGAAAGCTAAGACCAATTTTTTTCTGTAGTTTATTTTTTGTTGAATTATCTTATAACCCGTATAAAGAACCAAAATACAAGAGTTTTTTTTCAGCTTTTGACAGATGCAATACTAAATACGTATAATTATACTATATAAAAACATAAAATATTTATTATTATTATTACAAATTATTTTTTATTTTTACCAGTTATTATTATTATTATAACAAATAGTTTTATATTGTTAGATTTCATTTATTTACTTTGTTTTGATATGTGTGATGTCATGCTGTTTGTTTTTAAGATTAAGTCAATGGTTCTCAACCTATTTGACTCCAAGGCCCCCAGTCAACAACAATATTTAAATGTCCATGATTGTTTCAGTTGTTTGTGATTTTACTGGACAAGGATTAAGGATTTAAATAAATAAATAAATAGGGATGTAACGATTAACCGTGAGCCGGTTGAAAATCGATTCAAATATGTGACGGTTCAAATTAGGGGTAGGAGTTTATATGAATGTATGTCTGAGGGGAACTTCTAGATGGTATTTTTTCTTTTCATCTGGCCTCTGTATAATGCATATTAAAGTTCATAAGTGCAGCGCTGCTTTGTTTACAGCGGAAACCAAGGAAACGCTATAAGCGCCACCTGCTGGCAGAGAGTGAATCTGCGTCTCATTCAGCTCCGCTGTTTCATGCAGATATTTTAATGTATAGTTTCATAAAACTGAAGTCAAAGTCGAAATTATACAATCTAATTTAGATTAAAAACTGCTCATGTTACATGTATGCAGCCTTTTTGTTTGGATCATGATTAAAATGCAGTGGTTGCCTCTCATTTTAAAAGGAAAGAGCACAGACAAAGCCTTATTTTGTTTATATGAAGAGATTTCTTTTATGTGTGTTACTTATGTATTTGATTTGGGGCTTTTATCCAAAGCGACTTACAAATGAGGACAATAGAAGCAATCAAAACCAACAAAAGAGCAATAATATGCAAGTGCTATGTTAGTATATTATTATAGGCTAGTTATATTCCAATTTCACAAAGAAATGTGTAGCATTTTGTCCAAGCAATAATAAAAGGACACATTTAATTTATAATTTGTCTTAAATCTCATTTTGTAAAAAAAACAAAACAAAAAAAAAATATCGTGAATCGAATCGTGAAATCAAAATTGTGAATCGAATCGTGAGTTGAGTGAATCGTTACATCCCTATAAATAAATAAATACAAATTATTTTTAATCCATTTCTACCCAATAAAATATTTTCGAACTTTGTAAAACTAGAAAAAAAATTATAAAACAACAATATAAAATGTATTAAAGTGGTTTTGTCTTATTTTAAATCATTTTAAGTTATCTTGAGGCCCCCTTGGACGTTTTCTGAGGCCCCCGGTGGACCCCGACCCCCTGGTTATAAATATATCTGTAAACATTCCACATTACTATGTCCACGTACCTTGCCAGGAAATTGACGATACCACAGCAGCAGACTGCTTCACAGCAAAGCAGTTTATCAAACAATGCTGTAGCATGTGAGAAAGGAAATGTGTACACTTCCGATGATTCCAGATGTGTGAAACTAATTCAAATATGTACCAACATAGCCCTGAAAATAGTGCATATTTTACAGTTTTGATTGAATATTTTGTTTGCTCACTACCTACCTAAGTTGCAAATTTTATCAAATCCAATGACTTGACCATTGCTCTGCTTACTGTAGCAACCTGGTACCCTGTAAACATGACTTTGCTTTCATCCTGTCTGAATTAATATATTGGCATAATTTGTCTCTTGAAAGTTACATTGAAACCAGGCAGATTGGAACGATTTTAGCCAGTTATTTTTGTTTATACAAGACGGTACGTGGGCAGTTTGTAGGAGGTCCGTAGAAGTGCTGTCTGAGGCTGAGACTGTGTGTAAGTTTAAAGCAAATGCTGTTTTTTTTTTTTAATGCGAATTAAGGTGTTTTTCTGACCTTGACCTGCAGGCACAGGATAAGAGGAAAGCCTTGGAGGAGACCAAAGCCTACACCACCCAGTCCCTGGCAAGTGTGGCCTATCAGATCAATGCCTTAGCCAACAATGTCCTGCAGTTGTTGGATATCCAGGCCTCGCAGCTGCGCAGGATGGAGTCCTCCATTAACCACATATCTCAGGTCAGATACATTAGTTTTTAATATTTCTCTCACTCCATCTCATTTCCTTTGCTTTGTCCTTGCCTGTCTAGAGATTTCATTAGTTGGTTCTTTCCTTTAAGGACTGTCTCCATGTGAATGAATGTCTGTCTCTCATAGTGACTGACTAGTTGATATCTGTCTTGTTTTTGGGTCGCCTCTTTTGTACCCCGTTCCTCTTTCTTCTTCGCAGATGCATCTCTATAGTTGATTTGGTCATCATGGAGACGTAAAACTCTCCCATGGAGTTCTTGTGCAAACCTTATTCCACTTCCATATGGTGCTGTTAGTTGCTACAGGCTTCAGTCAGACCCATTAGTTGCTGATGTCATTAAAAAAGGTCTGCAACCCATGGCCATAAGGCAACTGAGCTGATATTTAGAACAACACTAGGTGACTCAGGATACATTTAAATGACAACAATGTACTAAAAATGGGGGAAAAAAACGTGCATTTTTTAAATGTTTTGTATGCAGATGACAATGTTATCAAATGTTATTCACATGGATCTGCGAAAACGACTAAAATCACTGTATTATGCATGCCAGGCCAGTAGTTGGAGATGTCACCTTTGTAAAGAAACTATGCATCTGCACGCATAACTATAGACTAGTGGTTCTCAATTCCAGTCCTCGCATACCACCGCTCTGCACATTTTGTACGCATCTCTTAGCACTTCAGATGTTTGTTCTATTCGACCGTAAGTACCCTGCGAAGTGGCCATCACAGGATATTGTGCCATGATTCCAGTTCGAGGGGAGCATGTATGTTCCATTCAAAGGCCATTAAAGTGAGTGAATTAGTGCCCAAGCAATGAAGGTGTGATGGCACCGACCTATTGTATCCATTGGATTTCTTCTTCTGCTTCTGCTTCTGCTTCTGCTATTGAGTCTATGACAGCCCATACAAGCGCTTGCGGGAAAGTTATAAAATTTGGCACACTGATAGAGGACATTCTCAACATTAACCACAGAAAATTTCCACCACTTGTCCTAAGTTTCACTCATGTTTATGCTAATAACCTTTGAAAAGTAAAGTCTAGAAGGATTTTTTCCCCCTCTGATTCCTTGGCTCATGCAGACTCAAATGGCCACCAAATTTTACATTTCTACAGTTCAAGATTTTTTGCCATTTTGAATTTTTAGAAAAACATACTTTTTCGAACTCGTCCTAGATGGTTAATTCGATTTTCACTCAAATTTACACAAATATGTTCAGACCATGCTGGCAAAAAGTTATTAAAAGCTTTTTGATACACCCATTCGTTCTCGAAAACCATGCAAACGAATTGGATGAAAAGCTCGCCAAATCAGACATGAGGCTATATCTCCCCAACGCTTTGCCATATTCAGACCAAACTTGGTGTGTGTTATGATAACCATGATCTGGGGTTACTTGCACAGTTTCGCCACAGCTCCACCTAGTGGTCAGGAGATATGAACAATTGCTATTTTTGCTTAGAATTTCTAAACGGTTTGCCCAAAAATCATAAAATCCTCATTAGATTCAGTACTGCAAGCCGAGTCGAATGATATCCAATTTTTTTTTATATATTTTGAATGTCCTACTAAAATGCTGTATTTTATGAACGCATTAGCATAATGTTACTAAACTCAGTATGGGTCATCGGCACGATACCCTAAAGGAGCCTGCAACGTTTCAAAACAAAACTAGATATTTTCACCAAATTTGACACACATGTATGGGCACACTCTGAGGACAAAAGTGGTGGGATTGTGCCTCTTGGTGACCCTATAATTGAACAAAACATGAAAGTATATTTATATGATATGATAGAAAATACACTATTTTAAGAATGCATTGGTGTACCGAAACTCTGTATGTGCCATCAGCACCATGCCCTGCATGTTTTAAAAAAGTTCTGAGATAGCGCCAACTTGTGTTAAAAAATTATTATATTGAAATTTTAAAAAATGCTAAAAGCTTTTGATTATTTTTGTCTATTGACGTGTCTTGATAGATTCCTTGGATCATACCAAGAACATCAATACTAATTATGCCATAATTGGCTGAACTTCCCATCCACCATTTTTCGAACTCCTCCTAGACCTTCGGTCCACATTTTGCGAAATTTGACTCCGATCATCTTCAGACCATGTAGACAAAAAGTTATCAAAAGCTTTTTTCATAGACCAAAACGTTTTCAAATAATGCATCAATGAAATTGTTGGCATAATGCCAAACTGATACTGAGGCTGCAACTCTGCAGCACTTTGTCATATTGACACCAAACTTTTTATGTGTCACTGTCACCTCACACTGACCACACCATAACATTGGTCAAAAGTGATAAACCAGTAAATCGTATTACTACTGATTATATTTATGATTTTTCAGCAATTTTGACTAAAATCATTCTAAAATGGCTTTAATTACTCATTGTTGCAGTTGGTCTGATGCTCCATGGCATGCTTAGCTCCTCATTTTCCCTCTGTTGTGCTTGGTCCCTTAATTGCTGCTTGCAGCTATGTTTAAAATTGTATTTATTTACAGAGGTATATTATGTCACACTTCTCTAGTAAGTTTCATCTGTGTGTAAAGACACTGCAGGCTGTGGCGTAGCGCAAATCCATTAAGGAATGTTCCGAAGTGAAGTAAACTTAAACGGATTTCCTGTGCTCAGGGAGTAGGGAGCAATGAACACTCTGTAGAGACCATGTCATTCGGAACAGAGTTCATGCATGGAGCTCTCTTCTTACGAGCTGGTTATCTCTATCAGGTGTGTTAAATAAGAGAGACATGCAACATATGCAGAGCGGTGGTACGCGAGGACTCGAATTGAGAACCACTGCTCTAGACTGAACACATAATACACGTGTATGACGTCACCGGTTTCACAAATTCACATTTTTTGCAGTTCATTCTGGTATTGAATTGTCCACAAAGGATGCATGCAGTTATTATTTTCCAAAATAAGTGTTTTTTAAAGTAGCATAATTTACTACCGACTGTTTGCTGCAGTGGCAGTAGGTAGACAGCTCACTAGGCTTTTGAAAATAACTAAAATAATAGAACACAGTTTGTTGGCACTTCTTGTCCATTACTCAGAATTGTGGGAAGGTTCAACTACTTATGACAGTGTCAACGACCTTCAACCATCTGAAGATTCTCAGAATTAGATCTCTTATTTGACAAACACCAATTTCTGTCTTTCTAACTCTCATAGCACAAACACTGCCCTCACTGAAGTACTAAACCCAGAATTACTAGACTGATATAATCTGCCAATCACATTAGAGCTTTAATCGGCAGATGTTGATGGGATCAATCGGTGTACAGTGGAGCGTATTTTCAGGCCTCGTCTCCATTCGTATGTGTATCTGGGAATGACAGTGGGCTTTATAATGGCTCTAAGACAGGCTCATTAAGATGGTCAACAGAGACTTGTTCTCTCTTGACACAGCCTCCACTTACAGTGTCAATCATGATTCTCTGCAAAGATGGAGATGAGAATAATAGGACGGTTATGTTAAAAAACAGTGTGCTGTCAGGCATGTTGAACTAAAGGTGGGGGAGAAAGTTATTCAGTGATGCATCAGTATTCTGAATCACTCCACAGAAAGCAGTGGTGGAGTGTCATGCCTTGCTTGCTGCCAATTACACACACACACACACACACACACACACAAACATCAATAAAGTATCTAAACACGCCTGAACCAGCTAATAAAGGTCCTCAAGATCACTAGAAACATCCGGGTAGGTGTGTCAGAGCTAAACTCTGCAGGACTATTGCCCTTCTGGAGCAGGATTGGACACCCTGTCATAGTTTAAGAGACCTGATTTAAGTTAGAACCTGGCAAAATTATTCTCAAAAAGATTCTCTCTGTAAGAAACATCTAGTCAACTCCACAAATAGTAGTAGTTCCAAAAACAAAACATAATCCTGTAGTCTCAGTGCTTATTGCTGCAGATAAGTTATGACTAGGGTTGGGTATCGTTTGGGTTTTTTCCGATACCGGTGCCAAATCGATACTTTTAAAACGGATCCG